ACAATGTCAGTAAACATATACTCAGCCTCCCACTGGTTTAGAAAGGCTCTGTTTTCAGAATCAACTTTTCTCTTGGCCATTGTTAGGGGCTAGCTTTGACTAGAAATTAGGGTTGTATACATCAACAGATGCTTGATTGATCTGATGTAATTGACACGGGAATGATCGCAGGTAGCCCATCGTTCGGTAAGGCAGCTGTTGCGCTGCATTATGGGATTTTTAGTTTGTGTGTTGTATGTAAAAAAAGATATATAAAATGATCCGGCCCGTGGGCCTTGAGTTTGAAACATGTGATGTAGAAGATACAAATGACACATGTCTCTAAGCTTGATGTGATGGAAAAAAACAAAAACACCCTGCTTTCTCAACCACAGACCACAAGAGGAAGTTAGGCTCAGCCTGAGGACCCAACAGAAGAACCAGCATCAGTTCTGTCATTTTCTGAGCCAGCTGCAGCAGCAATGGGCAGTGAAACACTGAATACAGAGTGATGCTGAACCAGATGATAAAGATACAGATGATGTGGGATTCAGGGCAGAAAAGCCAGAAGAGCCTGAGGAACTAGTTGAGCAGAAAGATGAAGCTGTTGAGACTACAGAGGAAGAGGCACAGGAAGGTGATCCAGAGCAGTCCTGCTCAGCAGAACCAGATGTGGACTCCAGTGCTGTACTGAACAAACACCCGGAGAGATTTAGCAGTAAAAGATTGGATGGGCATGTACGAAAACAAGAAAGCAGATCTCTTAAATGTCTGAAGGTACTGCAGGCTTCTGTAGTCAGTGACAGTGCTGCGACGGCATTTCAGTAGATGTTGCACAGCAAAAATCAGTGTGTTAAAAGTGAGCAAGTAGCTTGTTGGTGTGTTCCTCCCCTGCATCATGGACTGAAGGCTTGTGTGGTCTTGTGTAGGTAGAGACAGTTTCATGGCCCCAAGAAAAAGAATGCTCATTTAATAATAAAGCTGTTTTCCTCCACAGTACTAATCTTTTAATCAATGTCCTCTTCTAGACATCGGGACAAGGTACTGGCACTCCTTCACAGAGAGATCAGGACCTCCGAAAAGAAAACCTCATGCTGGCCTCTGAGAACCTGGAGCTGCGCTTTCAGCTGGAGCAGACCAACAGAGACTTGCCAAGAGTCAAGGTGAGCATAACCCTGACCAGGGGGCGGCAGTTCAGTGCTTGATGTTGATGCGGGGTGTAAGGCACCTTCAAGGAATACAATAGTTTGACATTTAGTGATGTACACCTTTTCACAGCCAAGAGTTAGATGAGAACGTTGATGCCAGTCTTACTCTGTCTGGACAAAAAAAAATTAGCAGTGAAGAAGCAGCTTTATTTTATTGTCATTGTAACATTGTGGCACGTACAACGAAATTTTGTTTGGAGCCGAGGGCCCCGGGCCGCTGCGTGCATACACGTCGCCATCACAGGCAACTTGGGGGGTTCAGTGTCTTGCTCAAGGACACTTCAACGTGTGAGGAGAAGTGACATCATGTAAGCTTAACTTTTCACCCATCAGTTTAAGATGATATTTTATTTATTATTTATGTTTATTAGTGAGCTGTAGCGGTACTGAGAGGTTAATTTTGTTTGATACAGATGGAGCCAAACTATTACTCCTTGTCTGCAGTATTTATGCTAAACTAATATAACCAACTGCTAGCTGTCATATTTACCATAGAGATATGAGTTTCAGTGTGGTCAACTCAGTCAGCAAGAAAACAAATAGCTGTTTTGTTCCAAAAATACAGAACTAGATGACCTGACAATATGAGCTGGAATGAAAATGAAAAGGGTGTCTTCTAATGCTTTGAGAAACAGAGCACTTACAAAACCACCACAAATAAATATATATAATTATAAGGCCCTTCATTAATTGCACTATAAAATCTTTTGTCCACATTAATTTCAGTATTACTTTTCAACAAAAACATGTTGAACTCCAGTTGAACGAGTCAAATTCTGTTTAGTATCACAAATCAAAAACCGAACAAAAAAACACTTCATCCTCAGGAAGACTGAGGCGGGATCCCTCTTCCAGATCAGACATGTTGCATGTAAATAACAGAATACACAGTAGACTTAGTTTGGGCAGGTAGAAATGATAGATTTTAAACTTAAACTGGGCAAGAGGAACTTATGGTTCTGTTATTGTGTGTTTGATATAATTTTATCCATCTCCTTTTTGCAGAATCAAGTTGCAGACCTTAACGAGATGTGCAGGGCACTGAAAATGGAAAAAGCAGAGGTGGAAAAAAAGCTGGCTCGTATACGTGGAGTAAGTTACTGCTGGTCTTCCGATGCACGTGATTATTTTTCATAAATTACCAAACATAGTAACAACAGAAAAAAGACCCTATGCATACCTATAGAGTAAAGATGGAGGTAAAACAAATCCCCCTGACCTTAGAAACATCTCTAGTAAGAAACAAATAGTGGATAAGCAGCCCCCACTGAGGTTCAGTACTGAAACCTCCTTTTCCAGCTGTTGATCATCCATGTGATTTGTTGTGTTTCTCGTCAGGCTGGTCACAGTGGTAAAACAGTGACTGAACTGGAGAAGACCATTGGGCTGATGAAGAAGGTGGTGGAGAGGGTGCAGAGGGAAAACGAGATGCTAAAGAAATCCAGTGCACCTGCAGCTCAAGACAAGGTCACTGCCTTGGAGCGAGAAAGCAAAAAACTAAAGGTTGTTAGCATCTTGCGCATCATACATTCTCTTGGACAAGTATCAATGTCTCTGTTGTGTTGCTTCAACTGACGGTACATTTTTTTAGGCTGACTATGAGAAACTGAAGAGTGAAAGTGAAGCTGAGCTGAATTCTAAACTTGATTCTAAAAGTAAAGGACTGGAGAAAGTGGTGATGGAAAATGAACGCCTTCGCAAGGACATTAAAAGGGTAAGTTCCACGATACAATGGGACATTTCCAAAAGTACCTTTCAAAAATAGTTATTTTTGTAATTGTTGGTATCTCAATATTTAGTAACGAGTTAGAAAATGGATTCAAAATTTTCAGATCTGTCAAAGGGATGGAAAATTGTCTAACGTGACTTGCAATAAGTTAAAAGAGAGCAAATGCCATGCAGTGTCCTTCTGAGCCCATTTATAATATTAATGGCAGTTTGAATTATTTTTTGAAGACGTGTCTCCAGGCCTCAGGTACTTTATATAGACAAGTAGCACACTACTACAAACATAAGTTGTTACTGTGGCAGATGTCTTTATCAGAGCATTTCTCATTTGTTGCTGAGCACAAGTTTTCATCTCTACCTGGATGTGCATTTCATACTATATCCCAGGAGAGAGAGGCTGCAGAGAGGCTGAGAGTGATGAAAACCAGTCTGGAGGTGAACAACGAGAAGCTCGAGGCAGAGCTGGAAGAAACCAGGCAAAGGCTTCAGGCTGCTCTATCAAAACCCATCATCGAGGGAGCAGACAGCAAGACCTGGAAGCCTTCTGTGACAACAAGGTCAACAAACTGTTTATCAAATACTTACTGCTCTCAGTCTTTGGGACATCCTGTCCCATTTTCACTAGATTGATCCAACAATGTGCAAAATCTTAGTTAATATACCTTTGCTGTGTTCCTGCTTTCATAACCTGGGTACAAACTTGGTCCATGTTTCACCAATTTTCATTCACGTCTGCCACTTGGGGCACGTTGTTTATGTACAGGCTGCAGGTGGTCCATGTTTCACCAATTTTCATTCACTTCTGCCACTTGGGGCAGGTTGTTTATGTACAGGCAGTTTCCAGAATGTTTCTGTTCAATTTACAGGATGTTTCAGAAGAAGATGGCGGAGCTGGAGCTAGAGCTCTCCCAGAAGACCTCCAGCCTCTCTGAACTGAAACGGCAGCTGAAGGAGGTGAATGAACGTGAGGAGAGAGCTCAGATAAGCATCAGGAAACTTGAAGACCAGGTACAGGCTAAAATAACCATCACATAATAATAGTGTGTGCTTGTTCACTGTCTCCCACCTTACCTCCTGTCTAGGGAGAGGGGAGACCTCCCTCCTCTCCCTGTCTCCCCTCCTAACCCCCCTTGCAAAGGGATCTCTCCCTCCTCTCCCTGTCTCCCCTCCTACCTCCCCTTGCAAATCGCACACACAAAACAATCTAGCATGCCTTGATAGAGAATCAAACCCAGACCTACTGTACCACAGTCATTGGTGTTAACCACTAAGCCATCCAGATACTGGATAGACACACATTTAGAACTTTTACTGGTTTCTGCTATTGGTTAACACAGCCTAGCAGAACTTCACTTGTATTTTGTGTTAGTAAATGACCTGCCTGATGCAAACAAACATTTTGCTACCTTTACCTAGCAATAATTTCCTACCCTTTTCTCTTGTGTTCAGGCTGTTTACAGCACTGACCTGAAACAAAGGCTCAGTGAACAACATGGAGAGAAGTCCTCTCAAACAGGTGAGACTTCAATCACTACCGAAGCTGTGTGAGGTTTAATGCTTACCAAGTACAATCACTTGCTGACATTTCAGTTGTCTCTGGTGTTTGTAGACAACGGGAAGCTCAGAGCGCTTCTGCAGGCAGCCGAAGCTGAGAAAACCCAACTTCAAACTGAGGTTACAAAGCTGAAAAAAGAACTGGAGAACTTCGACCCAACATTTTTTGAAGAGATTGAGGACTTGAAATATAACTACAACTTAGAGGTCAAGAAGAACGTCCTGCTGGGGGAGCAGCTGAAGAAGCTGTGTGATCAGTTTGGTGTAAGCGCTGAAATGCCCAGTGTGTCCATCAGTTAACTCCAGATTAGGCCTTTTTAGTAGCATTACTTTTACTGTACATTGCAGTGCATCCAAACCATTTAGGTGATTATCAGTTTAACTTTCTAAGGCTGCTGTGCACATTTGCTTTTCCATTGATTTAGATTTAAACTCTTATTTAGGCTGCTTGCGTCTGGACAGAGTTAAAAATTCAGTGCAACTTAACAAACCAGCTTTGGCATTGGCACAAGAGCCCTGGTATCATACCAGTACAACATTGAAATGTTCCAAACCAGTGTCCGGCTGGTCCAGTCACTGGAAAATCAAATTGATCATTTTCTATATTAATAGTATTCTAAACACACGGAGACTAAAACCAACAGTGCACTGTCTCAGGTTGATAGCCTGTGTTATCGACCTCCACTGTTCAAAAACGTGTCCCTATTTGAAACTTTTGGGTCAACATCCAGAACCACATGCAGGTCTCGTTTCCTAATGAAGAAACCTACAGCAGAGGCACAAACAAATAAGATAATCTGGGTTGGAGACCGATAGACATGAACTGTAAGTAGAAGCTCTTCACTGCTGGCTTTAGTCTCTGTACTGGGTTAATATAAGTGACCAACTTTGTCCTTTATCATGTTGTAATGCAGTTTTTTAATCACATTCCTAAAGCAAATGAAGTGTCTTCTTTTAGAATTGTTCTTCCAACAAGCAAACTGGTTATGTAGCATAGTTCTAAGATTTTTAAATATTTATACAGTTCTGACAGGGCACTTCTGTTAATAAAACTTCTTAAAAAAACAAAACAAAATCAGTTAGTTTACATCACTTCATTTATTTAATTAAAATCTATAACATACAGTATTTACAGTATATTCTTGGAACACTTAAGCAGTTTCAGCTGGTCAGGATCACTTTTACATTAACATGACAGAAGAACAGTTTGTGTGTGGCTCCCCTATTATTTATGGTCAAGTGCTATTGACCACAACTGGCAGGAGATCTACTGGAACTTAGTGTTGTACCCAAGATGGCCATGTTTAGCACGGAGCCACTGGTAAATAGTACGCCCGCCACCCCTACAGACTCTGATGCACAAGATCTCGTCTTTCTGCTTTAGTGTTGATACATCTTAAAGTATGGAAGTACATCCCCAACAGACCACATTTCAAACACTACTCAGTTTGCATCTCAGCCATTGATGCTCACAGATTTCTCCACTGGGGTTTGAGTGAGATTCTCCAAAGGTTTTGAAAGTGCACACACCAGAGCAATTTGTAAGAATGTGTTTTGTGTGTGCACATTCTAAACTTTTGGCACCGACAGACATTCACTCAAAACTCAGTGCAGAAATCTGTGAGGATGTTTTGGTGGGGATTTACTTCCATAGTAGCTGTCCACAGGCTTTAATAGAATCCACTGCTCCTGTTTGGTTACTTCCTGATGAAGACCTTCAGCTAATTTTGTAACAGGAAAGCTGTAGTTCTGCACAGAGCACAATGCATCACACTGAAAACCACGCCCACTGGGGAAGACCACAACTCACTTTCCACTGACTTTGTATTGAGTGAAAGCGCCTAACATTTTGGTCTTTTTACAAAAAAAAAAAAAAAAAGCCTAAAAGCTGATAGGACAGTATGCAGAGAACCAGGAATCAACCAAGCAAAAAAAAACACCACAGCTTTAAGAAGAGCAGATAAGATGTGTGGCAGTAGCAGGAACAACAGAAATGCAGATCCTGACACTCGCTATATGTCTGTTTGCAGGTGACTACAGCTGGAGGGAAGTCAGGGTGCAGCTGGTAGAACGTTAGCAAGCTACTGTAGTTAGCTAAAGCACTTTCAAACATGTTAGTGCATAGCTTTCTGATTTCTAACAAACTTTGTCTAAATGCTTTAGCTTAATGTACAGAAACAACGCAACCTAAAATGGCATGTGGATATTTGACAAAATTCTTGCTGCTCAGAGGCACAGAGTGTCACGATCCTAGAAATTCCCCATTCTTCCTGCTAATCCCTCACTTTTGGGTTCTTTACCTGGTTGGTAGGGCCTCCTGTCACGCCTCAGCTTTTAGCATTACTGTCAAAACGGCACCTTCACTCAACCCAAAGTCAATGGAGCCAGACTGTTTTCCCCTCAGTGTGGCCTAAAATGGCTCCGTGTCTATAGGGGAGGGGGGTGCTTTTTACAGTGACCTTCAGATCACTTTGTGGAATTACCGGTGGAACTATCCAGCCACTAGCAGGAGGGTCACAGCAGAAGCCTGAGGAAATGCAAACTTTCACCTGGTAGCTGTGTTTACGGGTCAAACTGGATGTCCTGCAGCCGGCTGAGGCGGCGTCCGTTCAGTCTGGAGAAGGATCTGAACAAGTCCTTGCTGCTGTAGAACTCGGCTGCACTGTCGACGCGAATGACAACCGACCTGTCACCAAAGCAGGTTTCTTTCTCTGGCCACATCACTCCCAGGTGGTGACGGTGGACCTACCACCACACAGAACAGCTCATCAACATCTGAAGCCTTAAATGCTGTTAAGGCCAGTTAAACACATTCCACTTATTGAGCACTATTTGGAATATTGAGTAACTTTGAAAAGATTCATTTAAATATTTTCTGAACATTAAACAATGCATTGTTCTCTTCGTGAGAGAGCTCTACAGCTTCACTTGTCTGACTCAGTCTTATGATCAAGCTTCTCAGATAATCACTGTTTGAAAACGTTCAGCCAAAGAGGATCTGAATAAGAATTGATCCACAGGCACACTGTGTGCCAGCACCTTACCTTAACGAGCGTGCCGTCGCTGCAGTGCCAGACGATGCCCTCGACTCGGCCCTCCGGACTCTCCTGGAACCAGGAGCACAGCTGCTGGAAGTCGACCGGTGGAGGGTCTCTGATCCTCACACTCCCATGTGACACCAGGCAGTGGATCGGCTGCTTCTTACTCCCCAGTCCTGTCAGCACACGAACCTTTATTTACAAACTAATACATACTGACAGCTAAAGAATTAGGTACAGTTCCAACAATGGTCCCTTTAGTATTATTCCAAGAACTAAGTGAAGTCGGATTAATATTTATCCTGCAATCATGACTAGTATGTTTCAGAGACTTTACACATAACAAATGCGTGCACGTCAGAAAATAAGATTTGTACCAGTTTGAATGTACAGTAACTGATAAATTCTTAAAGCACAGCCTACCCAAACCTCAGACTCCTAGAAATTTAACTGTACATTAAAGAAGACATCACCATACCATAAGGGTTCCCGTTGATGTTGGTTCCAATGAGCTCCAGAGTTTGTTCCATGAGGTCGGCCAATGGAACCGCTGTGATTTCAAGCAGGTCTTCATCATCAGCGTCGGGCCCTAGAACGAGGGCCGCCCCGACCTCGTAATCCACCACGGAGCAGTGCCAGCAGTACTGCTTGTTGTCCTTCTCCACGGGAACCCAACCTGCACATTCACAAGGACCTGATTACTTTTTCTGCAGCCACCACCACAGTGACACATGCACAAAAGCATTTGACATGTTTTGAGAAACCGTACTGGACCAGTATGAATGAAGCCACTCAAGAATACAACTAGCGTCATTTTAAGTATATCATTTTGCTTTTTTTCCCCTTAATATCAAGAATTGTTGCCAGGCAATAAGTGTTAGGAATTGGTCTTGCTCTATTCAAGCTCCAGCGGTCTCGGTGGCAGCTAAACATCCTTTATATTTTGGAAATAAGTGAGAAAATGTTTCTGTCCTACACTCACATGCAGGGACAAAATGACAAATCGAATGCTCACAAACATTCTTATTATTCTTCCTAATTGTCATGAAATACATCTACGGTGCTGGCTCTGTCCTTCAGCACGTTCCACTGGATAACAAGACAACAGATAGTTTAATTTGAGCAGGTTCAATCATTATAGAAAGAAGTGTGCAAGGCGTACTGTTGCCCTTTTACCACACAGAACAGAACAAATACTTAGACTGGACTGGATTGTGCATTAGTTATAAAAACTACAGTAAGTGTTATATCTGCGCTGTACTGTAAAATACAAGCCTTCTGGTGACTGCTGAATAAAATTATGTCAAAATGATTTCAAATATGAAAAGCCACAGAAACTCATGCCAACATTTCATTTTTCAGTCGACCCCTGTGCCGTCTGTTCACATATTCTTTAACTCTGGTTATTTATTAGTCTTTTTATTTGTATCCATTCATGTCTGTAAGTATGTGGACAGTCACAGTTTGTGTAATTTCACCTCTGTACTCCACCACAATGAATCTGAAATGAAGTAGTTTATACATGGGGCCTGTGATGCGTGCACAGCAACGCTTTGTTAACGTGCGCTACCTGCTGGCTACAGGTGGCAAGGACTCACCTGGAATGTGTCCGTGCTCATCAGGCACCGGGTGGCCGTCGTGATGTTGGACTCTGTGAGCGGCGATCCACGTCTCTGGCACCATCTTAAAGTCTTCCTCTACGTTCCATATGAAACCTGAGAAGGAACAGAAACTAAAATAATCCAACATCCCTGGAAACAACAAAGCACATGGACTCTATATTTACTTTACAAAAGAAAGCTACAGGAATACTAAAGGTCAGTCACCACGCACCAACCAACAAGTCATTTGATAAACTACAGATCTGGTGACATACAGATTACACGTCACGTAAGACTGTCAAGAATTTAATAAAAGGTAATATCCAAATGCTGTTCAAGAGAAAGGAACGTGAGTGTATGTTTAAAACAGATGTCTTTCAGTTCCTGTGGTAAATCTGTGGAATAAACTTAGTGATGATTTGACAGGGTGTGACACGTTTAATAAGATAGTTTACTTGATGGATATAAAAAAACTTTAATATACACTCACAACAAAAAGTAATGGCAGTGTTTGTAATTTCCTGGTTTTCTGCATAAATTGGTCATGAGATGTGATCTGATCTTCAGTCACAAACAATGAGATGTGATCTGATCTTCAGTCACAAATAAACAACATTCAAGCTGATAAAACACAGTCATGATTTCTCATGTCTTATTGAAAACACTCATAAAACACAAAGTGATGCTGGAAAAAGTCACAGCAACACCAGGTTTCTGATGTCACTAAATGCCAACAGGAGTCCAATCAACGAAATGAGAATGGAGGTGTGGTTTAAAACTACCTTGACTTATAAAGACACACACACACAGTGTCAGTGTGCTGTTCACAAGCTGCATCAGCTGATGCGAGCCATTACTCACAAGAAGAGATCTCAGAAGCCCTACGATCAAAAGTTGTTGATGTGGATGTAGCTGGAAAGGGTCACAGAGTCACCGCACTGACTTTACATATTCACCAGTCCACAGTTGGACATACTGTCTATAAATGGAGACAATCTGGTGCTGTGGCTACTCTCCATAGAGGTGGACGACCAGCCAAGATCACTCCGAATGCACAACGCAGAATGTTCAGTGAGGTTAAAAAGAACCCTAGGGTAACAGCTAAAGACTTGAAGCATTCACTGGAGCTGGTTAACATCTCGGTTCATGAGTCAGCCATATGCAAAATACCGAACAGACATGGCAGGACACCACAGAGGAAGCCATTGCTCTCCAAAAACAACACTGCAGCAGCCTGAAGTTTGCCAAAGACCACCCTGACTCTCCACAACACTACAGGGCAAATGTCCTATGGACAGATGAAACAAGGGGAGAACTGTTTGGGAAGAATGTATGACGTAAAAAGAGAACCATGTACTAACATGAAATCATCATCAGGATGATGTCAGGGTGACTGTCGGCAAGCTGAAGCTCAGAACAAGCTGGGTGATGCAGCAGGACAATGGCCCTAAACATCGGAGTAAATCTACTACAGGATGGCTTCAGCTTTTGGAGTGGCCCAGCCAGAGCCCAGACCTCAGCCCAATAGAGATGCTGTGGAATGACCTCAAGACGTTCACACCAGACGTCCTAAGGTTATGGCTGAGCTGAAGCAACCCTGTGAAGAAGAATGGCCCAGAATTCCTCCTGGATGTTATGCAGGTCTGATCCACAGCAACAGGAAGTGTTTGCTTAAGGTTATTCCTGCCAAAGGTGGTTCAGCCAGTTAATAAAACACTGTTGCTGTGACTTTTCCCAGCATCACTTTGTATGTTTAATGGGTGTGTTCAGTAAGACATGAAAGATCATGACTGTTCATGTTTTATCAGTTTAGAAATATTGTGTTTGTTGATGTTTGTGACTCTGGTGAAGATCAGATCACATTTCATGTAGAAAAACAGGAAACTGCAAACAGTGCCTTGACTTTTTCTTGTGACTGTATCAATGTAAATTTGTGGGGAATATGTTTTTTCCTTTTTCAACTATTGCATTTATTTTAAAATATGTAAATTTTGATGTTTCAGTACTTTATATAGCAAGGGTTGGTAAAATAAGCATTAGCTTCTGCCTATGTTTTTTGGCCCAGCAAGCAGCATGGATGTGCCTAAGTATTGGATTTTGTTCCGTTTGTTTTGGGCCAAATAAACGAACCAAGATGTACCATTTGTAAAAACAACAGTATCCTGTGATCCGATGTGGGACGGTCCAAATACCTGGCATGACAGAAATAGAGGACTAACTGCATATACTTTGGTAATGAAGCCAACATACCGTTACAGCTCCTGTGAGAATACTGGTGCTTCTTGAACCTCTTCTCTGCCTGTTTGTTGGGCTTCCTGTCCAGACGAGCCCACAGGTAAGGCTGCCCTGAAGAAAACAGAGAAAACATCTGTAGAATTAGCCTCCGCTGGTCAGGTTGCTAGAAATATGGCGACATCAATGTCAGCAAAGCTCCAATGCTTATGAATCAGAGAAAACAAATGATTTTTGGTACTTATCGCAGACAATGGCAGTTCACTCACCTTTATAAACAGTGACATAACAGCAGGTGCCGTCTAGTTTTTCTGTAGCCAGTGCACGGTCAACATCAGCCTCCAGAGCAGCAGGGTTCACACTTCCAGTAGCAACAACCTGGAATTTCTGCAGCCAGACGGACGAGATACAATTTTGAGATAAGCAAAGAATGTTTCAGTGTTATTCCTGTGATTATTACACTGGTGAGACACTTTTGTCCAAATAATATCAAACTGCACTTACAACTACCACATGAATCATTCAGCTATAAGGTATCAGACAGATTTTTGATACTATTCCCGAAATAAAGTAATTTCTTCTCACTGTAGCATTTGATTTGATTTATTCTTTCAAGCATGTAAAGACAGTTGATATGGCAACACACATGATTGTACACATAATCCAATATCAATTTGCTTATACCTAGTACATGCTTGAATGGAGTAGGAAGAAGTCAGACTTATCCAGTCCTACCCCATGACATCATCTTACCATCATTGGTTTGCAAGCAGTATCTCTACATAAATAATTCTCTTCTACACCACACAAGTAATATACTAAAGAATTATTACAAAGTATTAACATTCATACACCACACCCACAATGTTCCATCTAATTAATCATTGAGCCTGTTCTTGCATATATCTTGATTGACACATACCTTTATATTTATGTTTAAACTCATCAATTCTATTACTATTTTTTATGTCTACACTTAAATTATTCCATAGTTTTACCCCACTTATGGAAACACAAAATCTTTTTTTTTGGTTGTACGTATAGCATGAATTTTTAAATTTAACTGACCCCTTAAATTGTATCCCCCTTCCCTTTCATTAAATAGTTTTTGAATTCCACCAGGTAATAAATTCTACTACTACTTTGTGATATTTAGCCCCATTCCATAAACAATCTGCAGGAATCTTTGGCGGCTGAATGTGCAGTTGGAAAGCAGCTACTGGAAAACCTACTTGAGCTGGAATGGATGGTGGAGGATGGAGCAGGCCCTGGCTCCTAACGCTACTGACGAGAAGGAACCTAGTCTGAAGCTGCTCCCTGACAGTCCAACAACCTCAGCAGACTTTGGTACTGATTATAAATCAATGGCTGCTGCGTCGCAGCTGTGCTCACCTGGCCGTCTCGTTTTCTCGATTGTTCTTCTTTCACCTCCGTCAGAAAAACACACGGTATCTTCTGCTGAACGGTGCCCAGACGTCGCATTGTGTTTCTATTAAATCCCCCCCGAAGTCCTCCAGACACGCCTGTCCTTATCCCTGAGCAAAGTAGAAATTGAATATCGTTCACTGTACATGTGGATGAGACTGTGTATGTGTATGCTGGTCACGTGACAGCGCCTTTTTCGTCGTCGTCTTCTTCTTCCTCACTTTTTTCGGTTGACAAACAATGACATAGCTCTCTAGCGCCACCGCCCCACGTCTCAGTCTAACAACACAATTCTTGTGTTAAAATCTCTAATATCGAACTTTTAACAATTAATCATTACACTGTTTTATATGTAAAATGTGTCATTTAAGCTAACATTACAGACAGACCTTTCAGATTTTATTTATTAAATTTGTTTTTGCTATATTTGGACAGTAAAGCATTACATGTTATCAATTTTAACCACTGTTGCATTTTCAATACCCAGTTGTTTTTCCCCTTTTCAGCTGTGTATTAGGTTCTTTTTATTGTGCTCAAATTACAGCCATAATGTTGTTTTTCCTCACCAGTATGTTAAAAATTGAATATTTATAAATAAATAAATACACCAATAAATGATCATTGAAGTGTGAAGTGTTTACTACTTTCAGTGTATGACTAAATATCTTAATGTGAAAATCTGAATTAAATCTTTCATAAAGATAAAAAGGTGCTTTCCTGCCGAGACACAGTGTGTGTTTGCAGCTTTGCCCTCTCATGTTGCCTAATGAATAATGAATGATGCTCAGTTGGGTGATAGGATCCACCCACTGAAATCGAGAACATTCAAGTTGTTGGCCTGTGTTGTGACTACAACCCAGGAGCCCCATCTTCTCCCAGCAGTGAACTGGCTTTCTGGCAAAGCTGCACTGACCTGGCTTTGAAATGTCACTCAGAGCCAAATCTCACACGGACCTGCAGATGGCCGGGAAGTCCTCGTTCGATGACAGCCCGTACCACTCTCTCTCAGTGAGCAGCAACAGCATTAACAGAGGCGGCCGATTTGAGAATGGAACAACAGAAGAGATCAAAGTTCTCCCCAGGTCGACCAGGAGGCCTGTGCGGGCGGTCAGGCCAGTCAGCGCCATCAGCACCAACGGCTCCTTCTACCAGATCAACCATCTGCAAGGAGAGCTGGTCAGAAAGAGAAAGGTAGGGGGAAAAAGGTGAGACTGTTCATGTATCACTGTGTGAACCAGAGGGAAAATCCCCATAATCCATTTTAGAGTGGTACCAAACAAACATCACAACTCTCTGTGATCACAGACATGCTACAGGATTAGTATTATCATAGTGATCATTAAGGACTTTAAACAACACGGTTTAAATCTATGGACCAATTTGGAGTCATGATAAGAAATGGAATGTTTGAGAAAACACCCTCACCACATCTATGATTTGTAGCTGAAGTACTTAAACTGTTGTTTCCAAGGTCAAGAATAAACTTTGAACCTTAGCTGAGTTAAAGGAAGGTTTCGGATATATTGTTTATTTTACCCAAAATAGTGACAGTGATGTGAGAAGAGACATCGTTCTCTGGTTTAATGCTGAGTAATCAATCAAAGCCTCTACTGGTTGTTCACATGTCACTGAGAATGTAAATGTGCTTCAGGAATGTGAGGATCTGAAGAAAGAAAACAAGTACTTATCGAACGAGATCCACATGGAGCGGATCATGATGCACACAGAGAACGAGCTGACCATGAGGAACCTCAGGAACCTGAACCAGGAGCTGCAGGCTCAAGTCAAAGAGGTGCGCTCAGTCGCCGGACATCCAGAGCACTGACAAAAAGAAAACATAGAGATCATACAACAACAACCCACCTGCATCAAATGAAATATATGTAAAACTCCACACATTAGTTTGACAGTGAAGTATTGGAAGCTGTAAATAGTTTTGACTAAATGCTGCTCTGTAAATTCAAATGTAGGTAAACTGAGCTGTTGTCACGTCTGTGTTCTAGAAAAGATCGATTATTTTGTGGCACATGACAAAACCTGCAATACTCCACAGCTGATATACAAAAGATTCAGCAGAAAATGTTTGGGATAAACACCTCAAAGGCGGATGTATGGAGACTGTGAAGGGGAAAGAATGTTGACTTTTATAGAACAAATTAAAAGAACAGAAACAGCATTTGTATGGAACAGTCATGTCATACAGATGCAGTGCTTCTGTTCAGCTTGGCCTAAACAGTTTTAGAGATGTAGTATGACACTGAAGGGACAAGTCACATGGAAATTCAGCTCAATGACCTTCAGCAACACAAACACCAGAGGGATGACTCCTCCAGAGGAGGCGTTCATTTTATACTTCACTTTGTTAAGGTGTGTCCAATAAGTTAGGAGAATGTTGTCACCACACTGTACCACGGCCTTTAAAGATGCACTCCAGTCATTCAGGTTTCAGGTTTCATAAACCTGAAGAACAAGAGAAAGATTAAAAATTCAGTGCAGCAAATCGATGAGGAAAGAGACTGAGTTATTCTTACTTTTGGTTTACAAGTCCAGCTCCAGAAACACTGGATCCCACATTTCCATAATGCAACTTAGAGCATTGTTTACATGCTGAGTAAACACCAGTGTCTTTCCAACTCCACAGGCTTCTGCTTTAAACTTGTTGCTCAAGCTGAGATTATCCTGCTGGCATCACAGAAACCTTTTATTAGTAAAATCAGTGGCATAGCCCTTTAACACTAGACAGTACTGAGGTAAATTCTCTGATTATATCTAGTCTCATATGATGGTGTTGGCTTTAGATAAATGTGCAGAGGAGTTTCATGTGGTACCGTTAACCTATAGCCTATGCTGGGTAGTCATATTACCTCTAGAAACAAAGGCAGGCCTCTACTGTTTCCTGACCAAGTCACCACAGTACACAACCACCTACATCTGTGTCTGACTCCCATCAGATGAAGCAGAAACTGTATCAGAGCCAGCAGAGGGCAGCGTTGTGCTCTCGAGCTGCCGATGAGGCTCAAGAGTGGAGGGGGGAGGCGGAGAAGAGCAGGGCTCTGGCTGAGGCTCGGGCCCTCGGGTGTCAGCGGGACAAGGACACAGCAGAGGCTGACAGGAGCCACCTGAGTGAAGAACTGCAGCAGCTTAAACAAGAGGTACTCACACAGTAGTCTGATCTTTCTTTCTTTTGATGAAGTTCTTCGGTGGTGAAGTCAAAGTAGCAGAAAATGAAAATACTCAGGTAAAGACACCTCAAAATTGTACTTAAATACAGTACTTGAGCAAATGTACTTAGTTACTTCCCACCTCTGAAATTCAGTTATGCCCTTTAACAATACTTTGGCATCTTCCTTTATTTGTAGCACACTGATCAGCAGCTCTTACTGGCCCAAACGAAGAAGAACTACTTTGAAACCAAGCTGAAGCTGGACCGGGTGTGTGGGGAGAAACAGGCCCTGCTGCAGGAGAACAGGAGTCTACAGGGAGAGAGGGACGAGCTCCGACACAAGCTGAGACAGGTCACACAGGAAAATGTCCAGATCAAAGAGAGGTGGGTGAGACAACGTCCGGAGTGAATCTTGGTTTGTAGGAAGCAAAGAGTTCTTTAAAAACACAACCAGCAGCGTGTGAGGTCAGCTGAGACGCCAGAGCGGACAGACCCAGTTTTGGAGGATAATATATTTTCGTGTCAGATACTGTAAACTGTTTATGGGAAAGCAGAAGAGGAATGAGAGCTGAGCTGGAGGAGAGAGGAGCTGAAAGGAAAACAAAGACAAGTGAAAAAGGAGAGAAACAATAATTTAAAGGAGTCAAAGGAGGAGAAAACTAGAAGCAAGAAGTCAGAGGGGGCTTGTTTGATTCTGAGACAAGTTACGTCAGACAATGAATTAAAAGGTTACACTCCCTTAAAAGTCAAATTAAGCAATTAAATCACGTTACTTCACCTTCACTTTGACAGGTTCATAGGTGGTCCCTGTTCCCTGTCAGCAAAGAAAACAGGAAGATTCCTACTCCCAGAGGTGCTTAGTTAGTGCAGACAGGGTGACATGAGCTAAAATGACTGTAGTAAACAACAACAAAACAAAGCTGTGTGTATTCAGGACATTTTTGATACACTGCTCTGAATACATAAAATGAGAACATGGGAAAATGAAAACGGAAATGAGATATGGTCAAATAAATGTGGGGACAAGCTCAATGTAACAGCCACAAAATAAGAGTGAGTTTGTCAAACTAGGTGAAAATGAAATCTGAACTATTTCTCTGGCTGTAAAAATATGATGCAACTTCAGTCCTTTGTTTACAGTGAGATGAACGCAAAGCGCAGAGCGACGGCGTCAGAGGAGGAGAGGAAGAAGGCCGAGCAGGCTCAGCAGGAGGCTGAGGCAGAGCGGCGTCTGGCTGAGAAGGAGAGGCAGGAGAGGACGGCCGACTGTCTGAGCTGGAAAGAGAAGCACCTGGAGTTGGCCAACAAGTTCAGAGCTCAGGAAGACCTGAAGGCTCTGAGGCAGAGCAAGGCAGTAAGAAAGCAAATCCCTAACAGTGACGGGGTTAAATGTAAGCACATAGACACACACGCAGCACGGTGGCACAATGGTTAGTGCCGTTACCTCACAGCGAGAAGGTTCCGGGTTCGGAGCCTGGGACCTTTCTGTGTGGAGTTTGCATGTTCTCCCCGTGCTTGCGTGGGTTCTCTC